AATATACGATTTTCCCCTGCAACCCTTTGATGGACAGCAGAACTCCCCTCTTTTTTGCCTGCAACAAAAACGAGGCCTGATCGCAGGTTAAAACTACGAATCTTGCCGTTTGTTCACGATATGCTACCGAAGTTGTCTTCAAAGCGATACTGTTTATAATTAAAATCTGTTTCAATCGAGCGATTTACAAAGCGTTTTTAAGTGGTTTTTTACATAAATATGGCAAGGAATGATAAAAGAAAGAGATCTGTTAAAAAAGAAAAAGAAAGGGTTTTTATGGTGTAAGACCGCAGGAAAATGCCAACGAGTCAAGAAATGACCTATCGAATATGGACGGGAATCCTGGCAGGTTGCCTGTTTTGAGCGACATTCCCATACCTGTTTCAACTCCTGCAGTTGAAAGTATTTCATCTAAGAAGTTATTGTAACACTTGGATTTTGACTCGCGACAAGCCAAAAAGGTCGGACTGGGATTGATACTTGATGTTGAAGTCGCAAAAGGTTTCAAAATACAAGATGCCATTCTTTTGAATGATTGCATATCTACTGGCGCGGTATGCAGCTGCTGCCGTAAAGCTGCATAAAAAACTTAGACTTTACCAGAAAAACAACGAAAGAGAACGTTTGTCAGAGTCTTTGTTCCTAAAGTGTTCAATTGTGAGGTGGATACTCTATTAGCAACAAGTAAACGGCTTGGTGGCAAGGGTGGTGGGTCCCAGTCAAGTCGGGCATGCTGGATTATCGCAGTTTTGTGCCGTTATGAACTTACCTCCACCTCCAGCTAAAGAGGCATACAAAAAGCATCTCATTCAAATTGAAAAGGCAACAAAAACAATGCTGAAGAGGTAGTGAAAGATGCGGCTGAGAGGTTACGAGAAAAGGTTTCAATTGAACGGCCGGATGACATGGAAGAGGACGGATGAAACGCAGTTGTACGATGAAGACAATCGGTTGTCAGAAGTGTTTATGGATGAATTAGATCCAATATTTGCAAGGCTATCAAAAGATGACCTCCTAATTAGGTGTTTAAAAGGGATCACCCAGAATCAGAATGAAGCAGCAAATGGGATACTTTGGTCCAAGTGTCCAAAAACTAAGTTCAATAAGCAACTAAGAGCAATAATACTGTTTTGGGCAATTTAGGGTAGACTATTAAGAAATCTTTCGTTGTACAAAGGCTTGTTTTATATATTAAATGTAGAGTATTATCTGGCTGTTTGAAAGGAATTTGAGCTTGCCTTTTAGTTTAGGGGTGTCAAATATGTTTCGTGCTTGCAGGTCACGCTCACACTAAAATTAAGCGTGTTGCTTGCTTTCGTTGCTTGGCAGAAGACTATATGATAAACCAAAACTTATTTAACATTGTGAGGCGACATATTAGTTGATAGATGAAGTATTTTGCGATAAATGTAGAAAGCGCCGGCTTTATACAGTACTTCCTTTTTATATCGATTATTAACGATTCAGCCAAATGTAGAAATAGGCTCGATAACTAAACAAATCGTAATACAGCACTTGAATAGAATTCGTTGATTACAATTCGTTGATTACAAGTCATACCATGTGCCCATTTTGGGTTCAAGCAAGCATTATAGCATAATTGTCACCGCGAGTCCGCAACCTAACAAATTAATTGGATAAAAATTATAGATTCGATACCTTGCTTCGCTTCATAAGAGTTCAAAGCATATATCCCTTGGATTCTATAACAAATTTCATATTCTAATTTGCCACAAACTCACTAAAATTCATCAATTATAGCTAAAAGTACAATCTAAGACAAACATATTTTTCCCGACACAAACATATTAAATGAAGAAAAGAGTCCCAAGAATATAAATCTGGTGTTTATATAAGGTATACATTTTAAGTTTATCACGCTGTCAGCAAATAAATAAATAATAATAAAATTATTCCAGGGATGTCAATAATAATTAAGTGAATCGCTACATGTAGTCTAAAAGATCACCTTCTCTGGAACTGCCCACATATGGGCACACATTGTTATAATAGTATGATAAAAATTAATAAAAATAAAATATATTAACATAAAATAAATAACATTTTTCAATTTCAAACGTCATTGCTAAGTGTTATCTCTCTCCTTTCTCTACGACTATACTAATAAGTGTGGATTTTAATTCTGTTAACAGTTGAAATAAAAGATGATAATATATAGGATTTTGAAATGACTCATGTATACGTGCTAAGTTTTGAGTTGGCACGACTTGAAACAGAACGTGAGGCGGCACACCTGGTGAAGTATAGAAAAATTTTAGCAATCTTATGTAAATCATCCATATGACTATGCATGTATGTTGACTGGTATACATAAAGTTTTGTCGCCATGCGGAATTTTCGGGTTGGCACGACCTGAAAAAGAATGTGAGGCGGCACGCCTTGCAAAGGCGACAATCTTTGTTATACACATTACGGCATGATTATATTTCCAAATGCGTGACAATATTGTTTCTGGATCAGAAGTGAATATATAGACTGATACAACACGTATCCAAGCATAATAAAGAAGTGTTGACAAGATACAAAACAAGACAATTTCATATACAAGGAGGTAATTTATAGCTTACTTAATACATTGTGCGTTTTTACCCCCCTGTGGGCTGTGATTCATTTGGAAATCAAATATTATATTTTGCAATTTTAACTCAACGTCGATTTATAATAACATTAAAGTTTAACACACGTGTAATTTAGTTATATGTTGGCATATTGCAATTCCGTACCATATACACCCTTGAAAATTTTAAATAGAGTATACTATGTATTAACTGTTTGCAATATTTTGATAGAAAACCTCCCTAATTCCCGAATCACGTGACGTACGTGAATGTAAACATTGGGGCGATGTTTCCACCATGCCACTTGAACATTCCCTACTTCGTGCGAATGAAAGAGCTTACTCAAGTGACCGGGCCACACCGGGCAGGCAGAAAAATCTGCCTGAGCCCTACTCTGGGACCATAACTCGCCGCGAGATAAGGCGAGCCTATGCAAGTTAAGGAAAAATCTGGCTACTGACCCTTGTGAGTTAAGGCAGGAAAAATTTGGATATTGTATACACACTATGAATTTTGCATTGTTTGCGAATTATGCATAGCAAGTATACAGTACTTGAAGTAGCAGGCCTAGAAAAGTGTTTTATTCTATATTCGACAACACATACATGATATGCACAATAACTCGGGACCTGGAAACAAGTTGCATCAAAGCGAGGCTGGTAGCCAGATGCCAAATTGTATAATTTGAGGCATTATGTATAGTGTGTATAGAACTGCATTGTTTCCTAAATCTTCACAGTATCAGTTGCTAACTTGCTATGGCTAGCTTAACCACAGACTTTGTAATTTTTAGCTGTTTTCATGAATCATGACATTATCATTTAATTATTAAAGTAAGGTTCGAATTTGTTTGCAAGCAGCAGTCCTTGTATTCAATTTTTAATTTAATTCAACATAAACATTGACATGAAACAAAGAAAAACTAAAAAGCTTGCTAGGAAATTATAAATTATTTACTATTAAATTTAGTACTTTAATAACTATTTTCAACGAAATTTCGAACCACAATTATATAAACGATAACCAACGGTCATACTAGAATTACTTCCTTTGGAAACGTAAATGGATGTAAATGACAATGATTCCTCAGTATAAATCTGTATTATTATTTATATTCCTATTTCCTCTCAAGCTTTTATATTCAGAATTCACTGCCTCCCATTAACACTAACACTAAGTATTGTAAGCAGATTATAATTTTTCCGCTGAAGTGAGCAACATTTTCAATATCTGTTCGCAGACAGCATCCCGCCCCCCCCCCCC